TCAAATTCACAGAATAAAAACAAAACTAAATTTCAGTCAGAAGTTTAGATTGTGGCCACCCACAGGTAGTTGACTCAGTGTATTGCTTAATGTTGTCTTGTGTCAACTTGTCTGTTAATACAAAAACAACTATGTCAAATTGAATCTGATTTTTATATTTTCAGTTTCATCTCAGAGGTGAAATTGATACAGCAGGCATTAGCAGTAGAGGTCAATTTATAAGGGAAAGCACAGCTTACTTTCCACAACATGTCCCATTGCACAGAAAAACTAGTTTTACAGTAAATGCAGTAACATTAGATAGTCTGTGTATTTTCTGCCAGGAAAATGTTATCAATCAGACACACAGTATTAAAAGCGGGGGTTGAATTTAACTACAAAAAATTGCTTTGTGTTTTATGTTTCAAGTCGAATTAGTGGTTTTCAGAAGAGAGCCAAGGCCTGAAGCCGCTCCCAGTGTCACACACTGGGGCTGGTTTGATTCCATCTTTTATAAGCTCTCCCTCACTCTCCCTTCATAGGGTTTCATTGCAACAAACAGTTGTGATGATTGTCTGTTGTCTGTGAGCAATTATGAAACTGAATGGGGGCGGGTTCGATGCCGAGTAAGGGAGTTCACAGCCTGGAAAACAACTTAAGAGACAGCCAGAAGGAGACAGGAAATGAGCTGAATATTTTGGAAGAGAAGCATGAGCCTTGCCACACCCTCGTCCAGACATTCTTTTTTATATAGTCCATTACACACCACTGAGACATAACTAACAGCAGCAGACAGAGTTTAAGTTTGTTTTAATGACTACTCAAGCACAAAGATAAATTACTTCGGGGTCTACAAGGTAAAGCATTCACAGAGTGTGTCTCTGTAAACTTGTGAAAGATTGGGCCAGGGTCTGTTAAGGCTGTTAAACCTAATAAATGTTATGTTTGGACAAAGGCATAATGGTCATATTACAAAGAAAATCACATTCTTTCACTCATCCCATCTAGCCTTGCAGATTTTATTTACTATTGTTTTGAGATAGCCACAACTTAAAGAATTATGTTGCCAGTCCAGTACAATGGAATTGTGGTTGTGGTGTTGATATCATTGAAAAATTTAATTTTATAAACTTAATAGCAGCTTACAGAACAAATGTATTTGCTTGGATAATCTACAGACCTTACGGTTCAATAGAAATGGTTTCTAATGAAAACTATCTACAATAACAATTGTCAAGTAACATCAAACATAGACAGATATCAACATCACATAAAGCACAATGGCTGGCACCATGACAGGCGTAAAGTGAACTTAGTTCTAGTTTAGTTCCACCAGCCCCATAATATCCTGCAGTAGGAAACAGGAACATACACATGACTTAAGATGATAAGCCACAGTAAAACTCCTCAATGTTTTCATTGCCTGTATTGTTATTCTTGGTAAAACTGTTGAGACAATTTGGTAGATATTTCTAGGAAGCAAAAAATCATTCTGTAAAAACAATGTAATAAATAAAACTGCTTACTTTTTCTTAAACAGTTATAAGAAGTGCAGTAATTGTACTTTTAAGTGCCAAAATAATGATTTGTCCCAGTTGTTTGTTGGAAAGTTTTCAACCTTATCCTGTGAAAATGTTTTTCTAATTTTCCCCAATAAGCTTTTTTATATTCAGCCTGTTAGAATGCCTGATATGGCCAAATGTAGTTTTCATTGCACGATACTCAGTCATGTCACCAGACATTTTAGATTGAGGCTCAGATGTTTTCGGAAGGAAAAAAAACAATATTTAATTACATAAAAAGCCACAAAGACAATTTTGTGGATGTGATGTATTCCATTGATTTATGGTATATAAAGATGGAAAAAGTAAGTTGTGGAATAATCATTCTTCAAATACTAAATGTAGGATCCAAATCACACATTCATCCATATCCCTAAAACAACATGCTAGTAGACCTCAAGATTTGTTTCCATATGTAAATAAAATAGCTTCTTTGATTAACGCAATTCCTGCCACTGTCTCCAAGCTCCAAGTCTTATCAGAGGTCAGAAGGTTGAGAGAGGTGTGCAGATCGGGGAAGATGTTGGCAGAATATGAAACATCAAAAGATGGCCTTGAATCAACACTGATCTAAAACTAAAAATACTTGATATGAATGTCATTATTTAAATATTTTCATAGTAACCCTGACATTTACTGTTGCATAACTACTTTTGTTCTATTGTTTGGATATAGTGTTTGGTTCCAAGGAAATCTCTAGGGGAAATGACTGGGAAGTAAATATTGTAGGCTACAATACACTCTTTGATACATGGACCAATCAATTATACAAGTGAATATAAACACGCATTAAACATGACATGTGATGTTGATTCTTATCATTTCAAGAAGCAAGGAATGGGTGGATGAGAAAAGAAAAGAAAAGAAAAGTATCTCTGTTGCAGCCCCCGGAAGTCTCATTACGTTGCTGTTATTAGATTGTATGACAGACAACCTGCTACAACCCCTAATTGGTAACAATTGGTGGCTGAGAGAACGGCGCCAGCAGCAACTGTAAATCTAAAACTGAATGCTACAGTAACTGCTCCAGCCTGGCTACAGGGCTACCACCTGCTGAAGGTCCCACATAGACAACCTAAAATATGGTTGAGGGTTCATGTGTAGTCACAGTTACGCTTCTAAGGTACCAGCTTCTAAGGAATTACAGAATATCACGTGAGTAGTCTTCAATGTCAATGTGTGTGTGACCAACAGGACGTTGCAAAACTGAAATGCATCATTGCAACATTATTTCAGGGAAGCACTTGGCTAACATGCACTTACCTTATGTTAATCATAAGAACATGACACACCAGATCAGTTTTCACACATTATTGGCTGCTTTTAAGCCCATTGTCTAGTCTAATCAATGCTAACTTGAAAATTGCCTTTGATTTTAAGTACATTCTGCCTATTTAGCTGCACTGTGAGATCTTAATGTCCCTCAAATGTCAATGTTGTGCTGTGAGATTAATGGAAATCTCAGAAAACCTCAGATAAGATCTGATAATCACAGGCATGATGACTGAGCAATTAGCCCATCTTTCCATATTGTTAGTAATACACACAGAGACATACATGACTATTAGAGCACAGTATAGAAAATATGATAGTGTCATTTGTAATTTGTCCATTATAAATCTTAGTTTAGTAGATTAGGAGGAAATTGTAGGGTCAATATGGATTTCACAAGGGGGGAACGGTCCTTATACACCCCAGGAGAGCATTAGTGGATGATGATTGTGCCACATCAAGACGATGCCGAAAGGGTGAAGTTGGATCCTGACAAAGTCGATTCCTGCTCATAACAGGCGCTCAGTTGTGGAAACAATAAAAAAAAATTATACCTGACATGATTAAATATGATCCAGGAAGCAGTGCTCGCAAATTGGTTTTGTGAAACGTTGACAGTGATTTTATTCTCCATCATAGTGATCACAAGGTAAACAGAAACACACAAATCACATTACCAAGATCCGTCAGTAAAGTGTGCTTGTAGGTATTAAATTATCTGATGCAGTGCCTGGCCAAATGACCTAATATTGCGTTTTATCATGTAGTGCTTCTGTCTACCTGAACACTTGTGCAGGCCTGAAGGTAAGCCATGGTTTCAGTTTTCCCACAGTTACATATCATTGTGTAACAGTGTCATTATAAAAATGCACTTGTGAAGCCATTAAAATGTCATATCTAACTCTTATTCACAGTAATAATAATCATAACATCATCATAGACCAAGTACATATCTCTACTCCAGTGCTGAGGAAATAACATTGCTATGCTCATTTGTCCAACAAAATATCCAAGAACTGCTCAAATGAATTTGTGTTGTTCCAACACATTCTCTTCCCAGATTGTCAAATACTGATGCTGCTTTGTCACGCCCCTCAGCATCTCATGCAGACACACAAGGTACCCTAGTTTAGTACAGTTTGAGAGGCATTTTAAACACATGGGTAACATTGTGAAGTGTTTGCAGTTTGGTTAGTTTTAGGCAACAAAACTATTTGGTTAAATTTAGGAATTTAGGATCTTGGTTTGGGTTAAAATAAGTACATAATGTGACATACGTCTTGTGACACAGGTCACATTGCTAATGGGAAGTCTCTTAAAACTTTAAAAAAGTCAACAGTGACTCAATCCCAAGCCTCCTGAGTGACAATCCTGTGTATGACCCATCCATCCACCCAGACCTCTTTCCTATGTGGACCTTGTCACTCTGAATACTAACCAAGGTGGCAAAAGTACACACATTCTTTACTCAAGTAGAAGCACAGATATTTGTGTAAAAAAAGACAGACAGTAAAAGTGGAAGAACCGATTAAACTTCTTTACTCAAGTAAAAGTGAAAAAGTACAGACTCTGAAATGTACTCAAAGTATGAAAGTAAAAAGTACTCTCTTGGTTTCTCTGAGGGATATTTCTACTGGCTGTTTCTGTGCAAAGCTAATATAACTGAAACTTCAAATAGGGTTGAGTCTTCCTCTCGTCTGTTCCGAAATGTTAAGTTGTGTCTTTTATGTTTTCTACATTACGTCTGTCATGCATGATATACACTGGTCTTGATGTTGGGAAGGCGTGCAATGATGCAAAATAATAATAACGATATTAATCGAGAATTACGCTCAAATGCATTAAAGCTAAAGTAATGAGCCTGTTTTGAAAGTGTAAGGAGAAGAAAGTACAGGTATTAGTGTAAAAAAATTAGGGAGTAAAAAGAAAAAGTTATCAGAAAAAGAAACACTCAAATATAAAAAAGTAGGAGATACCTCACAAAAATACACATTTACAATCCCAGATATCTTTATCCAATCCTAAATCATTAAGCAAGTAAACAGTAACTATGTCATCTCACAAACACATAGACATGTTGTGTATGATCTTACTGAGATGAGGATAGGGAACAGAGAAAAAGGAAAGCATGCAGACTAGAGAATGACGTTCTGGCTGGTTTAATTACAGTTTCCTATAAGAGAGTGAGTCAGGGACAGACTGAGGAGAGTAAGGGAGGGCACTGTAGTGCAGCAGTGTAGTCTGACATCTGGACATTTCACATCTGGACCTATCAGGAGAAATGACTCTTCAACCTACAAGGTAAGCTTCATTGGTTTATATATTGTAAAATGTTTCACAGTAGCATTGGTACATCATCTCTTCTTAAACACTGAGAGTTGACAAGTCACTGAGAGTTGACAAGTCACTCACAAGTATGTGGTGACTTTTGTGAAGACAGCTGTTATTAAAATGGATGATACATCAAGGTGTGTTGGATAACAGGATATCTTAACATAACGGTAAACAGTACAGTGAAATACAGCCAAGACAAACTCAGAGGTGAAAAACCGGACTTTTCCATACCAGTTGAGACAAGTCTTTTAGCATTATCTATTTTCTAGTTTGTGCTCTGCTGACAAAAAGAAGCAGTAATATTAGTGTTGATTGAATGGGAAATTGCCATACACTGATACGCTGCTCATGCCTCAAATGATTGTTATTGATGCTTCACACACCCCTTAAACCTTCTCATATGTGTTAAGTAGCATTTAAAGTACGGTTGTCTTTGACATAATGGTTCAGTACAAAACTATTACACTATTCGTGTAAGATGATATCTTATTTTGTGCAGAGCAAATTCAAACAACCCCAGGGGGAATTTGGGCGAACAGAGCCAGGTCTGTTGTTCATTATTACAACATGGTACACACACTACACAATGACTTAGACACAGGTAGACTGTAAATACCTAATGATTTATGGGTGAAGGCAGGGTTGATAGGATGTGCATGTAAAGATTGCAATGCAGCAAATAGTAAATGCAATAGCAGTAAGAGTTATAGTATGGAAATATGGAATACACTGTTTTATGATATAGGTATGGATGTGATGTAGGATGTGGTTGGCGCTCAAAGAGCAAAGCTGATGTTCCGCTGTTTGCAGAGGCTCAATTACTAAAGTAAATGCTCAGGCATGTTGTTATGGTAGCTTATGTTATTTTAGCGCAGTTCAAAGCTCACTGCTTGAAAGTAACAAGTGGTACAAGCAGAGGCTGCGTGTACAACTCTGTTCCTCTGGAAACATAAAGGCCAAGTCCAGGGATGACCACATAATGAACATTTCCCCCGTGGGTGTAGGCAGACCCAAACGATCAGAACAACATGTCACACAGTTAAAAGAGAAATATAAGGAGATTCACAATTGATAAAAACTGTGCATATGGCTTGACCATGACCTTTGTTGTTAATCATATCAGTTAACAAAATTTCCTCAGAAGAAGCAAAGGTTTAAATACAGGTCCTTATTATATGTTGTCTTTGTTAAAATGGCTTTCTGCAGAGAGTTAGATGAGAGAATCAATGCCACTCTTCTGTCTTTATGCTAAGTTAGGCTAACCAGCTCCTGGCTCGAGCTACATGTTTACTGTACAGTCAGTGGATTCAACTTTTTTTTTGTTTGCTTTATGTTCTCCACAGCATCCCGGACTTCAGCACCACAGCTGTATATGGAGACCAAAACAACACCAATGGCACTGATTGTCCTGAATCGGACCTTTGGGAGTGGCTCAACTCCGGGCAACCGGTGTATATCCTATTCATCACTGTGCTGGGAGTCATGTTTAATGTGTTTGTCGTCATGGTTTTCTGCCTCCACAAGAAGGCCTGCACTGTGGCTGAGATCTACTTGAGCAACCTGGCTGCTGCTGACATTGTTCTGGTGTCCTGTTTGCCCTTCTGGGCTGTCAACATATCCAACGATTTCAACTGGCCTTTTGGTCTGTTCTTGTGCAAAGTTGTCAACCTGGGCATTAAGATGAATGCCTACTGCAGCATCTACTTCCTTGTTCTGGTTAGCATAGATCGCTATGTGGCACTGGTGCATACAATGTCTCATGGTAGAATGCGTAGGCCAAAATACGCCAAACTGGGCTGTCTGCTGGTGTGGGGTTTTGGCTTGCTCTTGAGCAGCCCCACACTCATCTTCAGGGAAGTGAAACATTTCCCAGAGTATGGTGTACATGCATGCTTTCTGAACTACCCAAACCACACTCTAGCACTTTTCTGTGATGGGATGTTGATTGTTTTTAGCTTCATCATCCCCATTTCGATTATCTCATTCTGCACTGTCAAGATTATTCAGGCTTTGAAGATCCAGGCAATAGAGAGGTTCAATGCTGAGAAAACAGAGCAGAAGGCCACCACTCTAGTGCTAGTGGTCCTTCTGGCATTCCTAATCTGCTGGGTGCCATTCCACGTGGTCACCACACTGGACGTGCTGACACGAGCTGACGTCTTTGGAGGGTGTCACCTCACGACTGTCCTAGAAATATGCAACCAGATTTTCACCTACTTAGCTTTCTTTAACAGTGTTTTAAACCCCATCCTCTACGTCATTGTAGGAAAGAACTTCCGGAAAAAAGCTCAGGAAGTCTTCAAGCAGTGGAGGACTAAGAAAACAGGGTCTTCTGAGTCCACACAATCAAATGGGTCCTCTACATTAAAGACTATAGTATAAAACATTTCAAAAGCACTGTTCTCCTCAGAAATAGACTTTGCAGAAACATAACAGTGGTGCAGTCAGTAGTTTTGTTCCAATGTAAATGATTCAAATGATTCATAATTAGGTTTGTAGTGGATGTAATTGTGTAGTAATGGGACCAACAATCTTCTTAAAAAAATTACCTCAAGCATGAACTATTTTTAGAAAATGTAATTATTTGTGTATGGCCATACAAAGCTGGTGTGAATGTTCTTTACTCGAGAAAGTGGTCACTTATCATAAGCTTGACCACATACAATTGTTTTTTTCACTTTTATAACATTTCATCATATGCAATAAACCACAACCCTTTGTTACAAACAGTGGCAAGTAACAGTATCGTGAATGTATAGGTAGTGTGATCTAAATCAGCTTGGTTGCTGTAAAATAATTTATGTAAATATAGTTTTCATATTCTGTCTTGTATTTCTAATAACTCCTATTGTAAATAGAACCAGTATTTTTTTTTCTATGTACATAACTGGAAAATAAAGCATATGAGTTTATGGATATCTTGTTGAAACTTTATAATGCATTTAAATGTTTAGTTGAGCAAAACCCCAGAATGTGCGAGGGACCCAGTATCTGCTTGCTAAGTGTTTTCTGGTGTTTCTGACTCATTGTCTGCAGAGTTAAAAACAGGATTCTGTCAAAGAGTTTCCACAGTGACAGAGAAACGTGATTCTTTTTGTTGGCTGTATGGACATCACATTATACATTTCTGCACACACCACCATTTAATGGCCTTCTGTTGACTCATTGTGGTCTGTAGGCAAGGGTACACCCCTATTTATCCCCAAAATGAAGGCATGTCTTGCCAAACAGGAAACCTTTGTTAGGAGTCAGGCTTCACCACCAATGCCAGGGTTGGAAATTGTTGGGGAACAAAAAACATGAAGGCAGACAAAGTTATTTCAAAGTATGCCAAAAATACACCATTTGACCCCATTCCATGTGTTTTTGTCTGCCTTTCAGGATTTTTCACTAAATTCTTGCAAATCTAATGCTGTGTTTCAAATAACACAATGAAGCTACAATTTGACAAAGATTTAAAATGTTAGACAACAGAATGGTCATCAAAATAAGACAAATTTAACTTAATAGACTTTAAAGGTTAAATTGTAACCACACACCTACCCCCATACAGCAGAGATATTTGAAATATTTGGGCATATTGATTATAACCCCAATTAGTAACATATTTGTTTTGAATGCACAACCTTTATTATACTCTATAAAGGAAGAGTGTAGAAGGTGGTCAACCCTGCCTCTGTCCTTGGAAAGTGCTGAAGATAAACATTCTCCCAAGATTTTTATTTTCTTCAGTTCCTCTGTATATCACAACATCTCAGTTTGATAATATAAACAGAATGTCCTTTTTTTTGTGGATGGGTAAAAGCCTCTCAAAACTTCCCAAAGAATACCTTGACTACAATTATGAGACAGATTCAGGTCTTTAGCACCAGACAGATGCACTGGTGGAGTGTCAGTATGTAGCTTTAACCCTGCTGTTTATCATGGGATCATCATCAAAGAAAAGATTGCAGTCCAGTGGGCTTCTACAGCCGTCAAAGGTCCAAAACATTGTGTCAAAAACTATTGAAAGTCCTGTGAATGATGTGTCTCAATCAGCATATATTTGAAAATGACCGAGTTTCACGGGCTCCCACTCAAGGGTGGAGGCTGGGCGCCTGCCTCTGATTAGAGGGTGTTAACATTTGTTTTTTATGGATATATCATGACGTAAATTAGCCTTAGACAGTTGACTCTGTCAGCATTGGCCTTGCAAGGTTACGGGTTGATTGAAAACAGAAGATGGCGTGTTGAGTTTGTCCTTTGGCAGGCAGAGACCATGTGCAAAATGAGTTTCATTCTTCTGTCTCATTTCTGATTGGTGCAATTTAAGATGTTATAATTGCCCCTTTATTATAATTGATTCAGCTCTCCCCTACTCCTGTCAGTAGTGTACCATGCAAGTTGACAGCATGTCTCCAAATAAAGCCAGCCTTCAAATGTCAGTCAACAGCTGCTATGTGACGCCTCACCAGATGCTTAGAACTTAGAAATAGTTTTATTCTCTTACCAAAAATGGAAATATTTACATCAAATCTAACTTTATACTTACTACACAAAAAGTGAGTGGGGTTCAAATTTCAGTTGGACTAAATTCTAATTCTGTGTTTGTAATCATACTGTATGTGTTTGTCCATGCGGGTATGAATGTGTGGTCAGGGTCCTTTTCGATCACAGACATGCTGCATACAGTATCCGTTGCTAAGACCTCCCTCTTTGACGATGGCATGTGTGTGCTCTGACTGATAAACCACTATTATCCACTCCATTAAATCTATTATCCCTTCACACTTTAAAACTCAAATCATGACATGACGGTAGCACCACATACATTAAACCTGTGTTGACACAGTTAAAAGCTTTTACTGGATGGTATTCATTTTGAACACACCCTTATTTTTTCCTCTAAAATAGCTGTTACTGTGCTACAGCTTTCACAGTGATCCACAATTCACAAGGTTGGTTACTTATGGAGAGTGCTGCAAGAGCTGAGGTTGTCTGCAACCACACAGATGCATGGGATTGGGTTTACACCATGCAGCCTGCCTACATGTCCATCATCTGTCTTCTTGGAGTGATCGGCAACTCCTTTGTGCTTAGTGTGTTCTGTCTCCAGAAGCGACGCAGCTCTGTGGCAGACATCTACCTGAGCAACCTGGCAGCAGCTGATCTCCTCATGGTTTCCTGCCTGCCTTTCTGGGTTGCAACCATCATCAACAAGTTCCACTGGAGGTTTGGGGAGCCCATGTGCCAGCTAATCAACATTGTCATTGGGATGAATTATTATTGCAGTGTGCTGTTCCTTACGCTTGTGAGTGTGGACAGATACCTGGCCCTCACTAGACCCCTAACCCAGGGGAGGGAGAGACGGGCTTTCTGGGCACGTTGGATTTGCTTCAGTATCTGGATTGCTGGGGTCTTGCTCAGCTTCCCTGCTATCCTCTTCCGCTCCGTCCAATTCTTCCCTCATCTGGGCATTGATGCATGCTATCTAGCGTATCCCCATGAAGGCTGGAGACTGCGCTACAACATGACTGTCAGCATAGTAGGCTTCCTTATTCCTGTTCCCATTGTATCCTTCTGTAGTTACCACATAACTAAAGTCCTTCAGAGCAGCCAGAAGATGAGAAAAGGCAGCAGTGGCAGTGTGGAAAGGAAGGCTGCGTACCTTGTTCTTGTTGTTCTTGCTGTGTTCGTTCTCTGTTGGCTGCCCTACCAGATTTTGATCTTCTTGGACACTTTGGATCATTACGAAGTCATCTTTGGATGTACGTGGGCACACGTGTTGGACATTGGCAACCAGTTAGCTACTTATCTTGGCTACAGTAACAGCTCATTGAATCCTTTCCTGTATGTGATTGTGGGGAAGCACTTTAAGCAAAAGGCAAGGGAAGTGTTTAGACTTGTGCTGTGCAGGAGGTGGGGGAAGTCTGGTCATTACAATGCCAATCTTAACTCAACTAAACAAACTGAGAGTACTAAAATCTAATTCTACAGATATAGAGAAAGGTTTGACCAAAAACAGCTGTTGCTCATTCGCTTTCTTGCCAAAGGCCAGATTAGACAGTCGATACCACTCTTATGTCTATAGGCTAAATAGGAAGCTATTGCCAACAACTGTTTAGTATAAAGACTGGAAAGACAGGGAGAGAGCTAAGAGTGGTATCAGTATACTGACCCCCACCAAGTAATCTGTTGTGATGCAAAAGAATTTCTGACTGATATTTCTGGGTAGTAGTCCATGTGAGTGAAGTGTAAAAAAATTCTAGATGTAAGAGTATAAAAGTTAAAAGAAAAATATTTCATGTGAAATTATGCCGCTTCACAGTTTTGTTTGAGATACATAACCTCCAGAACTGTTAACGTTAATTAGTGTTTTCCATTATACTGTGTTGTGCTTGTTAATCTTGTTCTTGCTAAACAAAGCTGGTGTGGGCTGTCTTAACCAAGCTTAATTTGGTGCCATCTCTCATGGGTGAAATCTGAGCATGTGTTATCTTTTTTTATAGCAACCACCAGGATTGTTTGTTTTTTTTGTCGTTGATGTTTTTTTACGATATTGGAGTTCTGGAGAATCTTGAACACGTGTTGGAACTCTAACAGATAACATAACAAAGACATTTAAAGTGCTGAATCCCATCATGTTTTGTGTAAGCCTGCCACTGTGGTATACATATAGTATGTATAGCGTGAAATATAACTTTTCCTTCTGCTCTATCAATATAACCCAAAAAAAATAGTAAAACAAATATCAACCACTGAGCAATTCCAGAAAATAAATGGTCCATTAAGGCATTTAAAAAATAATTAAACTTAAACAATGTATCAGTGTTAATAAAGTATCATATACAGTTATGAAGAGGATCTTTGTTATGAAAAGTTCTTTATACAGATTCCTTTCCCTTAGAACTGCATGATGCAAGTGTGCTGTTGTAACTTTTACCATAAAAGGGATGCCACAGCCTCAACTATACTTATTTTTGGATAACATTTCTCATGGCAGACTGACAAAAAATGCTGTTTATATTTTGTCTTCCATCCAGTTTGATTGTTATTTGGTTTTAGACCATATCAAGGTTGTTATTGTTGGTATCTCATAAACCTGAGGCAGGATGTTTAGAATAGATAAGGAGAGGATTATATGTGAATGGACATACGGATAAATCCATTTTTGTTTGCTTACTTATTTAGTCAAATATTTAGAAATTATTAACTGTAGATAAACATTGTAATGTTCCTAAATTGATTAATTACTGATCAAAGCATAGACAGAGGTATTACAGACTGTGTAAATAGGCAATAATCCTGTTGATGATCCTATCAAATGGATAGATACCACATTTGAATAAAATGCTCCTAATGCATTGAGGTAATCCTCCCTTTGGCCTTGAGGAATGTTATGATTACATGAAAACACTCTGTATTATCACATAAGTGATCATTTTACTTTTTAAGTAGTACAATAATGCTTCTTTAGATATCTCATTTGTAAGTAACACTTTTTTTTTCTGAAGTCTGCAGTAGTGCTGATGACGTCCAGGTTTATCTTTTCTCCAGCACATTTGGTGTACTGCAGTTTCAGCCTCTAACATGTGCATAGGCCGAATTTTGACTTCTTGATAAATAAGTTGATATATTGAACTCCTTGGCCGAGGGTGTGGAAGAATGCAGTTATATACAAAAACATTCGTAGCAGAACTCCCCTCTGCTTCACTGTGTACTTTTACCGTGAGCTCAGTGTACACAGATGAGCCCTGTTGCAGACGTGCCTTTTTCATTAGCATTTTGACCATAAGAGGAACCTTTTCATGAAATGTACGGTAAGAACTGTTCATGTTTCGTCCTGTGTTTTGTTCTGAGCATTTAAGTCTGTACTTGATAAATACTAACACAGTCTTCACAATGTTTCTTGTCATATTTCTTTTTCTTGTTAGTCTTGTTAAACTAAAAGGGAATTAATAAACTTGTTAATATGTGGTTGCCTGTTTTCCTCTGCAGATCCAAAACAGCCTAACTGTGAATAAACATGTCACCATGTTGCCAATATTTGTTCATTTATGTATCATTTTACAACATGTTTTAATTATTTTATTGTATTTAAAGTGGTAATAACTTTACATATTATGTTTTATTTCCGGTGCAGTAGTTGTACTAATCACATAGCATCATGGGTTTTAAATCAAATAAGAGCATTTTACAGATGAATTCTATTATTATTTTGTTTCCTAGTCCATGGAGCCAATGAAGTTTGTACCTGTGGCAAAACTGTGGTCTGAAAACACCAGTGCGTCTCTGCCATCAGAGTCTCTGATCTCTGCAGAATGGGAGATGGTCCAAACCATCATCCCCCCATACATTTTCACCATATCTCTGTTAGGTCTTATCTTTAACAGCTTTGTCTTGGCAGTGTTCCTCGCCCACAAGGACCGACTGACTGTAGCCGAGATCTACCTGGGCAACCTGGCACTGGCTGACTTTATTCTCCTATGTGGCCTCCCCTTCTGGGCGATGAACATCCTCAACGACTTTAATTGGCCATACGGAGACGCTTTATGCAAAATGGTCAACTCCATCATTATCATCAATTTCTACACCAGCATCTACACCCTGGTCATGATTAGTATTGACCGCTACCTGGCACTTGTGAAGACCATAAAGGCCAGGTGGCTGAGACGGACACTTTATGCCAAAGTGATCTGCTTGATCCTGTGGATACTAGGGATCTTACTGAGCACGACAACAATGGTTCACAGAAAGGTGAAGTTCTTTAAGGATTACGACACAATGTCCTGTATACTTGATTATAGCCATTACAGCTCTTGGAAGTTGGCCCATCAGATTCAGATGAACGTGTTGGGCTTTGTACTCCCTGTTCTGGTCATTGTTTTCAGCAGTCGAAACATAATCAAGGCTATAGCACAGAGGGGTGAGCGTGTAGGTTTTCATGACATTAATGACACAAAGGCCACAGTGCTGGTGTATGCTGTCACACTACTATTTTTACTGTGTTGGGGTCCTTTCCAAGTATTCACTTTCCTCGACACACTCTGTGATTTGCACGTGTTGGATGAGGCGCTGTGGTCCCACACGCTCAATATAGGAAGCCAGGTTTCAGCGTATCTAGCCTTTCTCAACAGTGCTCTGAACCCACTGTTGTATGTCTTCTCAGGGCAGTACTTTAGGAGGAAAGTTAGCGCCATCTACAGGAGGACGAAACATCACCGCATAGGGTCAGATGTGACAACATATCAACGCTCTGTTGTGTCCACTTACATCAACAGAACAGAGCAGATTAAGCCTGTGGTCATTTTTAATGCAAAAGATCAGATGTGACTCTTCCTGACATCTTGACCACAACTTCCATCGCTTCTTATGGAAGTGATACAATATACAGGATGTGAGCCTCAAATTGTTATTTCTTGTCTTCTAACACAATAATAATTCTGTTATACGGTTATACAGCACTATCAGGGGATGTTTAATACTGCTTTGCGGAAATAATGGACACAGTCAGAGATAATGGACATAATCTGTTGAAGAAAAGGAAGCAGATTTTATGTTTACAGTCTCCATAAAGACACTTACGCCTTACTCTGTGAACAAAGATTATGTGTATCCGACTCTTTCTCTTTCGGCTGTTATGCATACTGTTCATTCTTTCTCTTGACTACACAAAGCAGTTTACACTCTGCAGGCTAACATGAAGGAATTGCCCATCTACCTTGTGTACATTTACATTTTACAGTATAGCTAGGTGTAAACAAACTATGTGTTCAATAGTGACATACGCAGTTATGCCAGTTTATCTTTAGTATCAACACCCATTACTTAAGATATGTTTGTTTGTTACTCGAATAATTTGTATAAACAACTTAAATGAACACCTGAAGTACTATAATAAATAATAAAAACATTAATCATGAATGACATGATACCTGTTGGAGACTTTGTTAAGTCAAATCAAGTAAACAGGTCCAAAGTGATGAATTTACCTACCAACATTATCACACTTAAAGGAGC